TTTTTTTTTTTTTTCTTTTATGACTTCACATGTTTTTACACAACAAAACTTTAAGTGCCTTTAATATAAGAACTCTTTCCAATCTTTGAATTCCTGTCTCTACCTTTGGGCACAAGCAGAACAGCACTATTAAGGCTATGGAACCTGAATCGAGACTGCCTAGGTTCAAATCATGACCTCAGCCAGCTGTGTGACCTGAGGCAAATTTTAACCTCTCCATGTCTGGTTCCTCATCTGGAAAATGTAAATTCTTCATACAGCTGTGTGAGAATTAAATGAGTTAATACATTTAAAGTGTTCATAAGGGAGCCTAGCTTATGGAAGGCACACAGTTTCAGTGTTTCCCATTGTTATTATTGTTTTATTATTCTCCCCTCCAAATGTCTAGGTCTACGACTTGTAATCAGTAAATGTTTGCCACCCAAATATTGTTTGTCTACTGTCTACAACAAATGGCTTTACTTAAAATTAGACGTTTTTAGGAGATACCTAACATGACGGTCACTGCCAATAAAGATACAGCAACTGCTGTTAAAGAGAATTTTTGGGCAAAGGTAAAGAAGGTCAATTCTCTTTCTTACACTTCATATTATACAAAGCTATACCATGCTTACTTGCTAATTGCTCAGTACCAAAAGAGTTTTACAATTTAGGCATGGCCCACACCAATTCAGCAGACACAAAATTCTCAAACTCAAGCTCCATAATGGTCATATTCTTTCAAAGAAAAAAGCTCCAATTACTCTATTTTAATAGTTTAGTGCTTTAAAATAAAAACTGTTCTGCATAAAACAGCAGAATATCGTTAAGGGTTAAATAAGACATTGTAAATGAAAGCGTCTGAAAATTAAATACGCATTAAGTACTAATATATGAACATATTTGAGAGAATTACAACAACAGATTTCTCCACAATTTCAAACAGCTGCCTTTTAACCACAACTAGTATTCTATCCGGTTCAAATCTTGGGCCAGGATAATGAGGCGTAGGTCAGAGTAAAGTTGCCATCCCCCTAAACCATTTCCTGCGTGAACTGTACTCTTCCTTTTTTATTCAGAACTCTGAAGGGACTTGTGATATGCAAGCCCTGCCCCTATATCACAAACTTAAGGAGTAAAATCCTGGAAGTAGCCTAATTCAAGACCAGGAAAATTTCTGTTTTTAAAAAACTTCTCTGAAGTTATTAAATCAAACGATGCCACCCCAATTCCTTACTGCCTGCGTTCCTAAGCTGGGGCAGAGAAAAATGCTAATTTTCTTCAGATTCAAGAATTTGTTAGCCTCAAAAAATCAGAAGTCAAGCACCAAGGGCCACATTTCAACTCCAGCTGAGGGCTGTTTACCTGGCTCATTCTCAAATGAAAAGCTGGGAGTCCAACATCAATCAGGGACACAGCCACGCAGTAGCCATCAATAGGCCACACAGGCCAGATCTGACCACAAGTCACTTGGCACCCTTCACTGAAGCAAACCCTACTGAAGGCCTGACTGCCAACCCTTGACCTGGTGAATGGGAGTTAAGAGCGTTACATTCTTCTAAGTCACAGATCCATTTGCAGATTCTTGACTGAAATCAACGTTGAGAAAATGTTAAGAGTTTTTAAAATACAGATGAAAAAAAACTCTGAGTATGCTTCACAGATCTACTTTTGTCCAGTAACATAAACGATAAATTATTTGTGACTTGTTTTGTCCATAAAAGCATTCTTGGACTCGTGAAATGATGTTCCAGGGGACAGCTAGTACTTTTCTTCCCCATCTGCACACAGATCTTCAAACTTTACTAAGCCAGTTTCTCCATCTGCATGTAAAATTGGACTTACATGTCCTTCTCTCGAAGATAAGCTAAAGATAAGTAAATACTGTACGAAAGTACTTTCAGCGTTTCAGAAGGAATTTGCTACCAAAAAATACACAAGTAGTAATGCAATGGAACTCTTTTTAACCCCGAATCGGCGACCCAGACCAAGCCAGTGCTGGAAGTCAAACTGATTAAAAGTCCAGACTTTTATGTCTATATTTGAGTTTCTGGGCTGGGAAGTTGGTCTGTGTTTGTACAAATCCGTGTTCCGAGCCATAACATAATGGAACTCTTCTGTAATGTCCCAGCCCACTCCCTACCTTTTTCAAAAACACCAGCCAGAAAGGACAACCCTCGGCAAATCCTACAAACCCTCCCCACTTGCAAGGATTCACACGGATCCCACAACTTTTCAGCCTTCCGTGACTTTTACCACTCTTCTGGAGCTAACCACTTTTAATGACCCCCCCCCCCTCCGCCCCAGGAACAATCACTCCTCTTCTCAGCTTTACACTTTGTCCCGGCAGCAATCGGCTGAGCCGTACCCCGTCTCCGGCCAGGTCCGACGACCATAGACTCCTTCACCCGTTTGCTACCCGTCGGGACCCCGAAAGCTCCGGTTCCTGCCCCAATTCCCTGAGCCAGCCGCCCCCCAAGCCTCCCTCAACCCCCAAATCCCGGGCAAAACATCACCGGGTTCCCCGTTGTCCTACGCGCTCCGGATCCGCGCGGGGTACACGTCGCCCCTTCCCCCCCCTGGACCCCGCTCTCCCGACCCTAACCCCTCCCTGAGGCAGGGGGGTGGGGAGGGCAAAGCTCTCCGCGGCTGGACTGAGACTCGGGAGGCCAAGCGTCCCCCTCAGCAGGCCCCGCCTGGGCCTCTCGGCTCGGCTGCCCTCCACTGCCCCCCTGGCCCCGCCGTGCTTATGCCGAAGAGCAGGGCAACACGAGCCCAGGGCTCGGCACTTACTCGGGAAGGTAAGTAGAGGAGAAGGAGCTCCACTTGTGTAGCGCGTAGGGCAGAAGCCGGCACTCGGGCGCCGCAGCGACAGCCCCGCCAGCCGCCATCTTGTCAGCACCGTAGCGGCCGCCACCGACCGCCGGCCGCGCCGGGAGGAGGGGAGGGGCGTGGCCTGCTCTTAAAGGGGCCGCGGCGCGCCAGGCCGTCCACGCTCCGGGACTGGAATGTTGCCCACCGCGTAGAGGGCTGAGGCGCGCGCGTGTCCTCGGTTCTCTCCTAGAGTTTCCACCTGCTAAGACTCCTTAATGACTGACCAAAACTGAGACTGGACTGTGAGCACCTGAGGGCTTTCCTGTGGAGCTCGGAGGGGAGTGGCGCAAAGGACTTTTCTTACAAGCCGAGGTAAGGAAAAAGCCCAGAATGTTACGAAAAGAAAGAAATTGTGGTTTAGGAGCCGGGAAGGGAAACTGAGAGGACGAACTTGGAGAAGGGACGCCGTAGCGACTTTGGAAGCCGCTGCCGTCTCCCGTTTGCAAATCCTACAAGGCAGCGGCACTGAAGGGAGCTGGCGCGGAAGAGCTAACACCCTCTCCCTCTGCCCTGGTCCTGGTTTTAAATGTCTTGCCCCGCGTTCCCGAGTCACATGGAGACAGGAAAAGGAAATGCTCGCGCGTCCTCTCAGCCTGTGCCGTGTGCCGGTGGCGATGCCCGTGCTTGTAAACATTCGAGGCGAGCCCTCTCACCCCAGCCTGGGCGCTCGGCTTGCTAGGTAATGACATTCACCCCCCGACCGGAAAAAAA